GAGAGAGAGAGAGAGAGAGAGAGAGAGAGAGAGAGAGAGAGAGAGAGAGAGAGAGAATGTATTTTTCAGGCACATAGTTCAAATTCAGTTCAAAAATACTTTATTGATCCCCAAAGGGAAATGACATAATTCAACTCTAAACAACAATTAAGTAACAATGTTACATTCAGTTGTTATTAAAAAGCTGTATACGTTAAAGTGAATTTGACTTTTCATCATAGCCTGTCTAAACACCTCGATATTGGACTCTGTCTCTTTAAGAACCTCATCCCGTTTCTGACAACCCCACTTCAGCACATCTTCACAACAATGCTTTGGGAAAGGAGTGATGTGTGGGGCTGGCAGGAGCTCGGCTGCAGACTGAGCTCCAGGGAGGAGCTTTGTACAAATAGGCGGTGCTTTGTACCAGGAAGCATTTAGGCAGCTGCACCATGGCTACGAGGGGAGATTCAAGGATTTCCCAAACATGCACGAATGAGTCAAAGCAACACTCTGGGTGTGTTTGATGAGGGAAAGACATTATATAAAGCTTAAAAAAGTCAAGTTTGCATAATACACCCCTCCCCCTCATTTATTTATTTATTTATTTATTTTTAAGATAAAGAGTACAACAACACTAGATCTCAAGAAAACACTGCTTTTAAATAATAACACACTTATTAGGACAAAAAATTGTTACAAAATAATTTATACTTTTTGCATTAATATACTAAATTTCCATGTTGACACAATTAGTATCATTTATTGCTTTTTAATTATCAAGCTAGCATAACAGCCACGTACTGTAGCATTCAGGATCTCTGTATTTATAAGTTAAATCTTCAGCCGACATCTCTTTATGTCTCTGTCTTCACACACAGGTCAGTAGAATGCCAGCTCTAACTCTGCTGTTAGCACTTTAAAAAGTGGCGTCTTTCCATTGCAGTGCTGGGAAGTAACAGTGCAAACGACTGCTTTAATGTGGGTTTTTGTGTCACACACTGGCTGCTCTGAGGAGGTCCTCTGTGCTGTTCATGCAGCTCTCTGAATCCAAGACACCATTCTGTCCAGAGCACCTAGGAGACAGAGACATGATGCTCACTGATGTCTGCTTGGTATTTATTTTATCATCGCTTGGATTTGAACTTTCACACTATGCTAATGAGTGAGAAGGAAACTAAAACACTTACAAACGTGAAGTGAAAGCTCTTCCTACTAGCACACATTTTGCCCTTATTACTCACTCCCGGTGAAAGCTATGGAGGTTTTTTTTTTTCCACATTTCTGCATTGTCTCGCTCACTTTGACAACGGGGGTAAAATGTTTTCAAGAAGTCAGCGCTGTAGACGTTTGTCTCACGTGTCGCTCCTCTGAAAAATCTCTTCAGCGTTTCAGGGCTGCTGTGCATGTGTGCAAAGATCTAAAGACTTTTTGCCTCTTTAGTTCCAAAGAAAACTCTGAACAAGTTGGGACTTTGTGTAAATTGTAAAAGCAGAATGTAGTGATTTACAAATCTCATATTTTACTCACAATGGAACATAGTAAACAGCTAAGACAATTACTGTAAACCATTTATAGACAAAAAAATTAGGTCATTTTGACTTTGGTGAAAGAAACGCCTCAAAAAGTTGGACAAAAGCAACATTTATCTTCTTTTAACACAAATGTGAAGGATCTGAGAGGAGAGCAGAAGCTATAGCCTCCATTGCATTCAGGGCGATTCAGCACTCTGACTCTTCTACTACAAAACCCTGCTGTTACAGCAGTATGTGATTTAGCCTTATCTTGCTGAAATAAGCAAGACCTTCTCTGTAAAGACGTTGTCTGGACAGGAGCGTATGTTGTTCTAAAACCTGCATATTCTTTTCTGCTTTGACGAGGCCTTTCCAGACGTAAGCTGTCCATGCCATAGACATTATTGCACCCCCATACCATCAGAGAGGCAGGCTTTTGAACCGTGTGCTGATAACAGACCCAACTGCTTTCCTTAGTATGGATGACATGTTACTTGTTCCCAAAAATAATTTTGATTCATCTGACCACCGAACAGTTTTACATTTCGCCGTAGTCTATTTAATGTGACCTTTTAATGTGACCCTGTGACTTATTCTTTGCATGATAGAGCTTTAACCTCCATTTGTGGATGGCACCTTGAACTGTGCTTACAGACAGTGATTTGTGGAGCATTTGATTTGAACATTTGCCGTGCTTGCTGTGTTCTACTGTGAATAAAATACACACAAAGACTTTTGAAAATGATTTTACATTTTACACAATTTCCCATCTTTGTTAGAATTCTGATTATAGTGACGGCAACACAAGTTTATAATAAATATTAAAAAGGACTGCTCAGTTTGATCAAAATGCACACACGTTCCTATGGTTGTTTACAGCCGGCATTAGGGACTGAAGGATCTAAACACTCTGATCAGATTAGCATAAACCAACACACAGCACAGCGGTGCTGGGAGGGCCGTGTCTGTGTGCTGGTGTGAAAGTCAGCCCAGTCAGTCACGTGTTTAAGTGTTTAATGGGATTGGACCTGAGGGTTGGGACCTTGTTCAACAAAGCCTGCTTGTTTAGACTCTTACAGTGTTTATTCATGATCACTGAGAAAAGATAGGAACAAATAGAAAAACTCATTCCTTTAAGCAAAGGGCATCATTCAATCAACAAATGCTGAACAGACGTTTATCTAAAGTGTATTACTTTCACATAATAAAGCTAATATGTACAAATATGATCAATTAGGTGTTGCAATGAGAGAGGAATGTAGTGATTATATTATGTCCATACATTTAAGACAATACTAGCATTATGTCATTCAGTAACTTTATACACATTTTGTAGCACTTAGAGTACGTGTTGGGAATGACTCGCCTACTAACCACGCTAAAGATTAGTGCAATAGATTTAACGTGCCTCTCCTCCAAATATAAAAAGTCAAAGAAAATATCTTCATATTTAGGAAAACAGGCATAAAACACATGATTTAACCCATTTTGTCACATAACTGGCATATTTTCCTTTGAATTTGGCTCAGCCAAAGTGAAACAGGAAGTGACATTAAAGGGGAACACTTGAAAGAAAACTCTCTGGTCTTTGTTTATAAAAACAATATTACAGTATTTCTACATCTCTCTCTCTCTTATAGGGACTAAAATTATCTAAAGAAACATCAGAAAATTCCCTTCTGTCTGTGTTGTTAGCTGTTCTGTTTACATGCAGACATTCCCCTTTGACATCACTTCCTGTTCCTTCACATGCAAATATCTCAACAACTGTTCATCACACTGGTGTGAAATTGCTTTTGCAATATGTTGTCCATGTTATCTTTCCAAAAGTGCAATCACATTTATCACAAACAACTGATGCCACAGGCACTTTAAAGTTATTGTGTTATAGCAACATTTAGAGTAATATCAACACACAAACCAATCACCTTTCACCTCAAGCTCACCTACACATGCTCACAAAGATTAATTTTCCAGTTTGAATCATATGAATAATAAATGTCAAATTAGAGAACAGCTCCTGCCTCCTCCCTACACTTTATCTCACCACACACACACACATACTCACCTCTTTAAGTCACATACCCTTGAAGAAGCGAGCAGGAAATGGGATAGCATCCCAGCCCCCAGTCGTCAGCCCTGCTGGCATGTCGCCCTCCATCACCCGTCACCACGTCAACCTGGAAGGACAAGAGGACATTCTGGGATAGCCAAGGCTGAGCAAACGTCAGAGCAGAGAGACTGTTGTGTTTGAAAGGGGCTGAAGCAAAAACAAGACAGAGGAACTCAAAGCTGACACTGTTTATATGAAGTAGTTTTAGATATAATCTGGGAAATTCAGCAGCTGAACTGAACTCCACTAGCAGACAGTTGGAAACGAGCTGGTTGTAAAAAAGTACAGCTGATTCTTCACAGTGGGCTGTGGGCTGTGTCCAAGCCTGCTGTGTGTGTGTGTGTGTGTGTGTTTTCCAAAAAGGACCATCTTGTTTGGTTTGTTTACCTTAGTCGGTGTAGCTACGGAAGCCCAGAGTGGCCATTTTCTGCATATAATCATTTTCCATTGTTTTCTCGTGATAATAACATGTCATTATCACAAAATATCAAGGACCATTTTCTCAAGATTCATTCATTCATTCATTCATTCATTCATTCATTCATTCATTCATTCATTCATTCATTCATTCATTCAGTGTTTTTTAACCAAATTCCATTGAGCTCTCCTTTGTAAAGGTGGCCTGGTCCTGAAGGCAACCTAGTATACATAATCTTGTGTAGTTTTCGTATCATTACACAGACTGATATTGCGGTTTGTTTGTCTCGTACAGATAACTTTATCAACCCTCGTCATTTCAGGAGACGTCTGGCCCGACTGCTGCTCAGCAGATCCCGCTGATATAATAAACTTTATTTGTGAGCAGCGGATGGGATCGGGCCGTCTCCTTGATTACTGAATGATGCACAAGAAAAACCATAACTCGTTATCTCGAAGAAAAAAAACATTGGGAAATTAATTTGTTATCTTGATAAAATGCTTGTGATTTCCACTAGAAAAAATAATATGCGGGAAACGTCTGCTCTCAGCTTCCTTTGGGAGGTGAAATGAGAAATGTTTGATGCTGTTATTTTCTTGTTTGATTTTTTTTTTATTTTTTGCACTTTTTTCCTCCAACTACTTTTTCATACTCTTAGCCGTTTATGTAACAAACATTCGCTCATTCAGGAGAAGGTTGCTCTGACTTTAATTTTCATAATATTCATTTTTATTCACCCAAATGTTCCCCATAGAACTACACTGAAGTCATTTCAGTTACTTCAAAAGCATCGTCTTAGAAAAACTGCATATTTGCTCTAATTTTAGCAAACATTTCCTATATAAGGTATCATTTTGGTATGAGCTAGTTTCTTTCTACATTTAGCAAGCCTTTTGCTACATTTAGCTAGTGTCTGTCTAATTTTAGTTAGCAATTTGCAACTTTTAGCTAGCATTTTGCTTTTTTTAGCTTTTAGCTACTGTCCTGCCTTTTTTTAGTTATGGCAACTCCGTTTAACCTTCTTTATCAAATTGCACCAAAGTCATTCATCATTCACAGAAAGCACAATGATACTTTAGAATATTGTACTTGTTTTTATTAAGTCCTCATTATGACCATATTTACAAGATGCAGTTTTATTTCTTATTTTTATTTCTAAGGTTTGAAGATTTTTTTATCCAGTGGACAGTGAGACAAAAAAACCCCACTACATTTCTAAATTACTTATCTGCAAAATGACTGCTCTGACCTTATGTACAGTTTTATTCCAAGCTGAAATCGAAAGCAGCTCAGCATTGTCTAATACTGCCTGTCCGTTTATAAGGACGGCTTCATTGTCAAATGACTAATTTGACATTTAGAGATGTGCACTGAGGGATAGATCAATCCCAGTCTCTCGCTATAACGTTAGAGCCAGAAGCAAAAAGCTTAGCTGAGCATAAAGTCTGGAAACAGAGGCAAACAAACTTACTTACAAATAAAGCTAAAGCAGCTCTTGTTTTCTTTATGTTAAAAAAATGTTACTTAACGTTTTCTGCAGGATGATGTGCTGACAAAACTTGCATCCTAAAATAAATGATAGAAATGCACAAATTATGAAAACTCAAGCACGGGTGCTCTATCTAGAATATTTCACATTAAACAAGAAACAATGTTGTGAATATTTTAATTTGGAGGTGAATGTTAAAACATTTCTTAAACTTTGGATAGAGTAGTTATAGCTTCTTTTTTCCTTTTCCTTCTATCTACAAAGTGAAGTTCAACTAAAGACCTACCAGCTTCTATATAATATTAACAAGAATTATACCAGCTGCAAACTAACGTTTTTTTCTTGTACCATTTTTGAAAAGAAACAACCCTGACCTTTGTTTCCACTTATCTACATTTATACAGAATGCACTAGAAGCTAAAATTCAAGAGTATTCCAGACTTTAAATCTGGATTAACGTGTCCAAGGCATATAAAAATAGCTGCTCCATGCATGTCTGGACCCACAAGCAGGAAAACAGCGGGCTGTCGGGCGGGAAAACACCATCAGCTTAAGCATCGTCGCTAAGTCCTGTTAACATGTGGACTTAACATGTTGATCAGCTCTCCCACCTGACATGTTGATCAGACTCTGACTTTGTCTCTGTGTGGTGACGTTGCACTGGCTTCTGCCTGGACCTTTTAATACTTTAATAGTGTGTGTGCACTGGAAGCTTTGTTACGTAACATGGTGAGACACTGATTTACATGTGTCTGCTCAGAAATAGCTGTGTGAAGGTCAGCGCAGGACAATATTGTTGGCTAAATATATAAAAAAATAATTAAAAAAATCTGATGATGGGCCAATCTAGCAACATATTTTTTTTTCCAGATCACATCCCTGTTGATCTTCGAGACCCCTTCTATACAGACCAGTATGAGCAAGAACACATCAAGCCCCCCATCATCCACCTGCTGCTGTCTGGAGAGCTCTACTGTCATGTGTATGGGCTCATCCTTCATGCTGAGCAGGCTGCCTCCCTCCAAAGCCACCAGTCTGTCATCCAAGCCTTGTCCAGAAGAGGCATCTATGTCCTGGAGAACAACACCACGCCAGTGTCTGATCTGGATCTCAGCTCGTCTCCTATTAAAATGGTTGGTGCCAGCGATCGCAAAATTTAAAACGAGTGTACTAAAAATCCTAAAGTTTTCCAGTACGTTTTTAAATATACACATATATATATACCTGGAAGGTGAACAAGACAAACACTGAATCATCTGTTAGCTTCTGAAAGCACCAGTGGATTGTTTGGAATTTAAGCTAAGTTCAAACAAACCCCATATCCAATGAAGATACCATTATGAAACACAGTTTAGCAATATTTCTTTAACCAAACGCAAAATTGCTGAGCATCATAATTAATATTCTCTCAGCGATGAATCTGTTTGATGTTATTTATTCCCACGAGGTTGCACAGACTATATGTCCTTACCACATTATTGAGCCTCAAAGCCAGCTTACCTTTTCACGTGTCGACTGTTTCGGCTCTGTTACTGCCAAAGGGCTGGCTTCAACCCCTCTCACTCTGAGGTGGCCAGAAGGCACCCACGTCTCAGCATGGGATTTTTTTTAAAAGCACCTTTTAACGACAACGTCAGGCAAAACAATGGCGCTCGTAACATGGGAAGATACACAGAGGTAGACATAGGATTTGACAAACATCATGGACAGGAGGGCTGACTGATGATTGATCACAGGTGTGCTGATTGAAATTAAGAGACAGGTCAAAGAAAATAAAGAGCTGCAATTAAACATGATGCTTTTATTTCACTATTTACTCAAACTGTACAGCTGGCAAGTAATTTGTCCATGCTGTTAAGTCACATAATAATCTAAGCCTGTGGAAATAAATAATTTACAACTTGATGTTGCAGTTTTGCTGGTTTTCTGATCTGCTGCTGAAAGATTCATGAGACCAACTGAGCAGCATTTTTTTTATATTTAATAAGAATCTCTTCCACGGCGATATTAGCTACTTCCCTCAAGTGTGAAAACATTACATGATCCCAGCTGGCTGGAAAGCTGCAGCTTTAGTCTGTGTTACTCCGAACTGACACTCAGAGGCGTCAGCAAATAAATGTGTTATTTACCGAGGTAGGTGTGAAGTGAGGCCAACACTTCCTTTTAACGAAAGATCATTAAAAAGATCTCTGTCCTCCCAGAGCTCCCACATCCACCTCATCGATGCCCTGATGATGGCCTACACGGCGGAGATGATCAGCGTAGAGAAGGTGGTGTCCAGTGTCAAGCGCTTCTCAAACATCAGCGCGTCCAAGGAGCTCCCATATGGCCTGGAAGAGTCAGAGGTCTTTTGGATTAATAAGGTGATGACCAAACATGGGGATTAAAATGTCGATTTATGTGATTTTGAATGGTCACTTATTCACGCTGCCTCGTCTGCTTCAGGTTAACATTAAGATGAGGGAGCTCACGGAAAAGGAGTGCAAGCTGAAGCAACACCTGCTGGAGTCGCCCAGTCACCACAAAGTAAAGCACTACTTTGTTCCTACTTTCCTGAAAATGTTCCTACGCCTTATGTTGTCACACACAATACAGCCCGGTACTTATTTACGGGGTAACATACATGGACTGAGCTGCATTACGAAGTGACTTTTTACCCTAGTACCTGAAAAGTATGAAATTGGTACTTACCTGCAATATACCTGGTAAGTACAAAGTACTGTTTGTACCCAGTGAGTACCAAAAAGGCTCACTGTAAATACCAGGAACATAAACAGTATGTATAAGAAACACACCAGATAAGTACATACCTGGCTCTGTACCTGTGAATACCAGGTCTATACCCAGTAAATACACTCAAAAAAGAGATGCAGTAGATGTAAATTAAAGAATTATGTGAACTGGATCTACTCAACTGAATTGAGTGAAGGCAATGCAAGTGACCAAGTTTGCACCCACTTAGTACCAAGTACACACCTTGCAACTACATACCACATGTGCAGTGTAACAAGTTACTTCATAATACAGCTCATGGAGAAAGTGGTGTTAGTCTCAATTTACCATAGCAAGGCTATTCAACTAAATTGCTCTGGGGGCCACAGATACTGCAGGTCAACAGCTGAGGGGACGAACATCCAGCAATTAAAGTTATTATGTAAATACACCAAGCATTACAAAGATCTGTTACCTTTGAATTAGTTTATTTTGCTGCATTTATTCATGAATGCAACATGTAAAACCCAAAGTGATATTAAAACAATATAAAAAACACATTATGTCTCCTAAATTTTGACGTATTTAACGAGCCACATTTTTAAACCAATTTAATTTTTACTTATCTTAATTTTATCTTCTACTGCTTGTAGTTTTAATTGTCTTGGGTTTTCATAGAAGTGGTTTTTACCAGCTTGTAGCCAAGATTCTGACGTATATGTCTAACTTGATGATGCCTTTATTGTCATTGTACAGAGCATAATGAAATTACATTTAAGAACACCCATTCAAGAAGACACACATGATAAAAACATGGGGGAACAGGTGATCAGGTCATGCGGCAACCAGCAGGGGTTGTGCTACCTTTTAAAAAGAAAAACTAAATACCATAGAAGGTTAATTTAAAGAACTTATAGTAATTAAAGTAGAAAACTGGGAGTTTGGGCTGAAGAGATTAATGAACCAGTCAGTGGGCCGGAATTTGTTCACCAGTGGGCCTGATGTGGCCCACGGGCCACCAGTTGAATAGTCCTTTATTATAGGGTTTTTTCTATTAGGTTCATATGTTTTAATTGGTTTGTACCTTTTAAATATTGGACTGTTGTATTACTACCTGCTTTTTCTAAACAGCTATCATTTAAAAATATTACTACTAATAAAAAAATACTTCTTAAATGCTATTTTATTAATTTACAGTGAGCAAGCACCTACTAAGAATTTCTGAAGCTCTTTGTGACTCACCTTAAACCAACAAGCTTTACTACATAAAATCAAATATATGAGGTGATTTACAAATATCGTTCAAAGCATCATTTGGTTGTTATACGTGTTTCATTTCTAAGTCTAACCCACGTCCAGATCTGATCTCTCTCCTGTCTATCCTGTAGCTCTGTCTGACCCTTGACTTGTCTGCTCCTCTTCCTGTTTGTATTGTTTCCTCCCCCGTGTGCCTCTTGGACACTAGTCTCCCTCCAAATGGTATTGGAAGCTTGTACCTGTAAGTGCAAATGTTTACTATCACTGCCTATGAGTGTCTGTGTGCGTCAGTATCAATTTGAACAGCAGCTGTGGTAAAAATGAACTCTAATTTTAAGCCGGAAAGAACACATTAAGGACAATCGTGTGTGATGAAGATGACACACACAAGTTTCCCTTTGTGCTGTAAAAAGACATGTTCAGTGTGTGCTCATTTGTTGTCATTTAAAAACTCTTAGCTTCTCTATTTATTTCGTGTGACTCGTAGAAAACATCCACAGGGAGGTTGAAGTGAACGGACGGCCACGTCAACCACATCATCACCATAAAGCAGTGCTTTTTTAAACAGCTCCACATGTTCTCATATAACATGTTTCAGTTCATTTGTAACTTCCTCCCAATCATTTTTCTCTCCCTTCACCAGCCTGATTTATTGCATGCTCTGGCCCATTGCTTATTGGAGCCTATGGAGTTCTCTCGTGTGGTAATGTACTCTTTATTGACCGTTTTTATTTTATTTTATTTTTCCGTTCCCTTACCACTAAACACACTCATCTGTGTTTCTTTGTTTTGTTTATGGTCTTTGTGTTTCACCATTAGAATTATTTGTGCTTTGTGATTTTTATGTTTATTTACTTACTTATGCTTTCATTAGTTTTTTTCCCCCCTGCATTCTTCCATGTCTCCAGTTCATTCCTCCTCAGGGTTTTTCCAGTCTGCCCACCATGTCTGCCTTCACATGCTCCCTGCTCACCGCTGTATCCACTTCTCTTTTAGTTCTTCTATTTAGTTTGAATCCAAGTCAGCAGTGGATTGTTCCTATTCTGCCACATCAGCCATGCGCTCTCATTTTTAACAAAATAGTCTTGTGTTCATCTTCATTCTGGGTCTGATCATCTTACTAAACCTGAAAGTTATTTGTCATATCTGAATACTGTTGACAAATGATATGAGTTAAGACATACAGTGATGCACCACATGAGAGGCCAGTCGCACAAAGCCCTCCTGTAACACTGACCTGATACAAAACCAAATAGTTGTAGGTGATTTAATCAATCACATGTATCTGCTGTGTGTGTAGTGTGTGTTTAAGTGAGACGAGATGTTTTGTGTTTGCTTAATAAGTGAGTTTGTGACTTCACATGGGATCAGATAAGTTAGAATAAAATTGGACCCTCTCTTGTTGTGTAGGTTCGGTACCGCAGAGATCATCTGTCAGGTCGCACGCTGCAACACTTCCCCCTGTTGGACGACCTGTTGAAGGATGTGTGTGACGGAGCAGCTCTGTTAGCTGTGATCCACTTCTACTGCCCAGATGTCATTAGACTGGAAGGTATGACACCACAAGCTGGCCAGATCCACTAAAGCTATTATATTTTAATCATGTTAATTTATTGTACTTTTATTTATTTCAGCTAATTTATCAGTGTTATTTTTATTTATTTTTTTGCAAGGAGTTGTCAGCTTAGGTAAAAGAGGAAAGAGAGTTATATTAATTTTATTATACAGGAACATTTTTCAAAATGCAGATGTTAACCAAAAGTATTTAAAAAGTACCCCGTGTTTAAAGAGCTCAACCACTTATTTGACCATTAAACAATGCAGAATGAACCTGCTGAACATTGTCGTTCTGATCTGTGCAGATATCTGCCTGAAAGAGGTTCCCTCTATAGCTGAAAGTGTGTACAACATCCAGCTGCTGAGAGAGTTCTCCAATGAATATTTAAACAAATGTTTCCATCTGAAGCCCGAGGACCTGCTGTACTCTCCGCCAGCGTTAAAGGTGATCCATGAAACGCGACATGTTAACGTGACAAGCCTCTTTAAAGCTTCACTGACTCAAAACTTTCAGATCACTCGAAATGTAACGGTCGTAAAGTAAGAAACAGCTTCATGACTCAAAAAAGAAAAGTATTCGTTTCTTCTTTAAAGTAATTTTTGCTTTTGGTTATTATACGTTATTCTTTCAATAAAACTGAGCGGCCACCCTGATCTTGGATGCTAAGCGGGGTCAGGCCTGGTTAATATTTGGATGGTAGACTGCTTGGGAATGTCAGGTGCTGTACCAATGTAGGACTCGTGCCGACATTGTTTACTAGCAATAGAAAACCTTTGACCATAAAGGTCATAGATCACCTCAGTAAAGGATGTCTTATCATCAAAACTGAGCAATTTTGCTGTTTTTGCTTCCTTTTGTTGTTACATGTCTGAAAACACACCATATCTTATGAAAAGTATTTTGCTGAATGTTTCACTTCTACACTCATCCACTCATCTGATACTGATGGGATTCTTTAGAGAAAATGCTGAGTTTAGACAAAAGGATAGGTTTAGTGTGCTGAAGTGTGTTTTCTGCAAAAAAACAAAACAACATAAAGTGTATTGTTTTATTGGAAGAGTAATTTTATAGAGTTCTTTGTCATGCTTTTTTCCTGGTGTTCATCTTGGTCATCATGTCTTGCAGAATAATGTCATGGTCTTCATTGCTGAGCTTTTCTGGTGGTTTGAGAACGTGAAGCCAGACTTTGTCCAGCCCAGAGACCTTCAGGAAATCAAAGATGGTAGAAAATCTTCTTTACTTTGATGTATTTGTAGTGCTGTGCAAAGGTTTTGAGACAATACTAAGAAATCAGACTTCGTTTTTATCGCTTTTTAGCAAGGCTGTCTGAGGCTCTTTCAAAGTTTTGTGGGGAATCTTTGGCTGCTTTAATTACAGCCCTTGAGAATTTTCAGAGAACTGTTTATTTGTTGCAACCTTTTTGTCAATTACTGAATCATTTGGGCAGAAAAAGCCCTAAACTCAAGATGTGATTTGATATGATGACAATTTGTTCCAATTTCTTCAGTTAGATATGCAAAATGAAATACCAAGGACATTACTGTTTGGCACATAAAATACTATTTAACAACCAAAAAGGTGATTCCCAAAGAGCATTAACTGAAAACTTTACATGCATTCATTGATCAGCTGAAGGATGATACATCTCTCTGGTTCTTTTCTGGCTTATTGCAGGATTTCCCCATATTTCCTAAAATTGTGACTTTCTAATACTGTTCTTCTGCTGACCTTTTTATAATCTGACCTCCACTTTCTTCTTCTTTTAAGCACAATATGCAGTCATGGTCAGGAAACGCATGCAAAAGAAGTGGAAAAAAAAAAAAACAAACAAAGCTGAAAACTTTGAAAGACTTCCAGAAAATCTTGAAAACATTTGATCAAGATAGTTTCAAATAATTTGAAAAGTCTGACTCTTGACAGTTTTTTTTCCTTTAATGTGACTTTAATGTGTACTTCTGCCTTTTGCTCAGTGAGACTTTTGCTCCAGCCCAAAAGCTCTCGATCTTATGCACTCCCCTCAAACGTTACCAAACGTCATTTCCTGCCATCTTCCCACTCGGAGGATATCTTAACCACAAACACAAGCACCGACCTCAGGTACTGTAGTTTATGTAAAAAGACTTTTCCACCTAAATGATTTTAAATAGTTTTGGCAACTAGGTAATATAATTTCAAAATGAAAAAAAAATCATTTGTTTTTCTTCTGTTCAGCATTAAAACACCTTCTTCCATCTCATCTCACTCGTTGCTGCCCCTGAGGCAGAGACCGCAGAGGATGGCTGAAGAGGGCACTTCAGGTAATACTTAGCAAATATTTGCTCAGATGCTGGTGCACATTCTGCAGCCTAAAGTCACAGATAAAGCTCTTTTAATAGCAAATGACTAAGCTGTTGCTGAAGAGGCAGAAAAAGGAAAAGAAAAAGCAGTATGTTTAGGGGCAGAAGACATTTATGGACAGATGAAAGCTTTAAGCAAAACATTCAGGGAAAAATAAGAGCGAAAACAAAACAATTCGATTTTAATGTTTTTCTCAGTTTATTTCTTCATCTACTAAAGAGTAGGTTGGTGAAATCAGTCAGTAGTTATTATTTTTGTATGTATCACCTCCGTTTTATGACTAGTGTTTTGATTTTCAGAGTTGAGGAACAGATCACACCCTGTGCCGCGATCAGATGGGCAACATCAGGACTCCATATTGGCATGGCCAGAGAGAAGGGCGAGGTGAACCCGCGGTTCCAGCTTTTCCAAACCAGACCCATTTTTTTCAGCTTTATGTCTTGTTATTCTTAGCTTTATAACTCTTTTACTTATCCCGTTGCATCACTTCTCTTTTAGGCCTTTATCCCAGCCAGCGCCCTACGCTCTGCATTTTGCAAAAGAGGATGAATCAGACAGCATCAGCATCGCTCGATCCATCAGCAAAGACAGCTTAGCCTCTAACATCATGAGCATTACCCCCAAACACATGCTGGAGTCAGCGCTGCCTCAGCACAGACTCAGTGGCCAAAGTCTGCTTAGTCACATGTGCATAGAAGATGAAGAGGAGGTGATAGAGGAGGAGGAACTCGTTTCTGTCATCCACCCTGCTACATTTTCTCGACACAGAGTCAAAAGTGAAATGGAGCAGGATGAGCTGGAAATGCACAATTTAAACTTATCCTCTGTAGGCTCGAAAACATTTCGTGTTCTACCCCATGACTCAGGTCCCTTTGCTTTGGACCACCAGGCAGACAGCTACTATCTGGAGCCTTTGATACCCGCTGTCCCCAAACGAGCCAAAGAGAAGATCATCACTGTGAACAAGCAGGAGGAAAGTGGCGAGGGACGCTTTAGAGGAGCAGAGGCTGGTAGGAAAGCTACAGCCAATATCCCTAACACCTCCAAGAGGAAAGCTCATGTAGTTGAGTCAAACAGAAGTACCGGTGCGCCGAAACCTGTGGATGAATCAGGGCTCAACTCAGAAGGCATTTCTCACTCTGGAAAAATACATTCTCCAGGTTTTTTCCTTCATTTGTCAGGGGAAGCAGGTTCCTTCACCCCTCCGCCCGAAGCAGGGCATGACTCTGACTCCGACATCGCGGACCTCGAGGAGGACGAAGACGAGCAGACAGATCCAGCTAAAGAGGCCGCGATGACAGGAAGGGGAGAGTGTTTAGAGAAGGAATGCTTGCCTGAACTGGGAGACGGAGAATCGGACAAACTCAGAGAGGACTTGAAGGTGACGGAAAGGGACGATAAAGAAGATGCCAGCGGACGCTCGAGTCCTTGCCCGAGCACCGTGTCATGGGCGAGCAGCTGCAGCGCCTCGGGCAGCGCGGGCGTCAAGATGACCAGCTTTGCAGAACGAAAGCTCCTCAAGCTGGGCCTACGCGATGGATACTCCAGCACCAGCAGCTCTCAGAAGACCACGCCAGACGGCTCGGAGTTTGCCCCTCAGTGGCTGGGGAAGGACACGATGGTTTGTCCGTCAGCCGTACCTTCAGAGCTGCTTCAGCTACACATGCAGCTGGAGGAGCAAAGGCGTGCGATAGAGTACCAGAAGAAGAAAATGGAGGCCTTGTCAGCCAGGCAGAGACTAAAACTTGGAAAAGCTGCGTTCCTGAACATCGTTAAGAAGGGTGAAGGAAAGTGCGACACACTTCCTTTACCACCAAAACACTCCCTGGATCCTTCTGGATCAGCAGCTAGCAGGAGGAAAGTTAAGATCCAGTCGTGCAAGGATGATTCCTGTCTAGATGCCCTGAAAGATCAAACAGAGGGACAGCAGATGAACAAAGACAACAGGTGGAACCCTTTGTCCCAGAACAAGAGCTCTGAACCTGATGTAAATGAGTGTTCCCACTCTATAGATCTACTTAATCAAGCTATTAGTTCCATTCAGCAGCAGATGATGCAGCTCTCCTTACAGCAAAACCTGCTGATGAAGCAGAGCGCGGTCTCACCTCAGGAGCCGACGCACACAGTCCAAAGCACAACCCCAGACGCTACACAAACAACACCCTCTACCTCAGACTCCAGATCTTTCGCGGCCCACTTTGTAGACATCAGCGGCAGCGATTCTCTCCCCGCCCGTCGCCCCCCAAAGCTCAGCTCCAGCCAACGCAGCAAAGCAGCAGAGCAGAAAAAGAGCAAAGAAAACACGAAATCAGCCGCCGCCGGCGTCCCTTCTCCGGACGGCCGGCCTTCTCCTAAAAAGGCTACCGATGGAGAGTACGGGACGGGGCGCGCCGCCGAGGGCTGCAAAACTGAGAGAAACATTCTGAGGAATGCCACTTTTAGAGTTCATGAAAACACCACAGAGGGAGGTGGGAACCTCTCAGGCAAATCCAAGTTACAAGAACCACCGGTCATCAACAACACACCAGAATCTTCAGCGGAGGATGCTGAGGAAGAAGAGAAAAAAGCTTCCGACTCGAGCAATGAGATTCTCAGCGTCGATGAAAGTGCTAGGCTCAGGGGTCAGCTGATTGAGGTGGACTTGTCCGAGCTTAAAGACCCACTGGAGGCTGGCAGCGCGGATGTGAGAGACAGCACTGCCGACGTCGAGCAGAAGAGCGTGCTGGGCTTCTTCTTTAAGGTATAACTCACATGGTTGGTGTTTCCCTCGTGTATTTGTTTGGCAGATGCAGCTTCACGAAATGTTTTAATCTTCCAGGACGACGAGAAAGCAGAGGACGAAATGGCCAAGCGTCGCGCCGCCTTCCTCCTCAAACAGCAGCGCAAAGCCGAGGAGGCCCGACTTCGGAAACAGCAGCAAGAAGCGGAGAGCGAGCTCAAACGTGACGAGGCTCGGTAGGGCCGATCTCATGCGCAAAAGCATTGTGGGTAAAAGTGTGCCGAATCGGAGGGCCTCACTCTTTGTCTGTTCAAGGCGTAAAGCGGAGGAGGATCGCATTCGCAAGGAGGAGGAGAAGGCGCGGCGGGAGCTGATTAAACAGGAGTACTTACGGAGGAAGCAGCAAGCACTGATGGAAGAGCAGGGTTTGGTTAAACCTCGCACCAGGACCAAACCTCGCAGAAACAGACCCAAATCCCTGCACCGTGAAGAATCCGGCAGCTTCTCCAAAGGATCCAACACACGTAAGAACATCTTCAACACTGGAGTTTTGTTTTAGCAGATGCTCCATGTTGTCTCCATTACTACCTGTTTGTGAAGCGATAGACTTTTGTTCTTTTCCTCAATGACGTGTGTACTTGTCGTCCTCTTAAGTGTGTACACGTGTGTTGTGCAGGTGAATCTCTGAAGGTGTCCACGTTAATCAAAGCCCAGAGTTCAGCAGCAGGCTGCAGGGGAGGTGAACACTCCTTCCCGCTCTGCATGGTTTAACTCCAAGCATGCACAGCTGATAGAAAGAGTTCAAACAGCAAATTAAAATGATACACTGGGTGCAGGACTGGTAAAAGTATCAGTCAGCGGCCAGTTTGCGTTCTTTTCCTCTGAGTCGTTTTAATCAGAGCTGTAAACTGGAAATAGCACAAGCTAATGCTATCAGTTACAATTAGCTGCTATCTGGTGCTACGTTATTCTGCTCTGTTTTTTCAGCTGATCTGAGTCACCGAGGATCGACGCTGTCTTTGGCGACAGATGCAGACAGCGTTGTTTCTGGAGGGGCGGAGTCAAACAGGTGAGACTTTCCTCTCTCCGAGTTCTGTGTTCAGATGATCAACCCTTTGCGCCCTCGCAGTTTTCTGACCGACTTATAACGTGTCCACAAGGGCTGCCTCTGTGTGCTCCATGGAATCGTTCCCCGTTCTGAGCAGGACCTCCAGCAGGAACATGGAGCGGGACTGGGAGAACGGCTCCATAGCCTCGTCCATCACTTCAACTGAGTACAATGGTGAGCGCAAATACAGAATTTCCTGTTCTACTTAAAAAAAAAGACAAATACATAATAGCATATGTATTTTGTCGATCTTTTATACATGCTGTGTTTGTCTGAAGGTCCTAAACTTTTCAAGGAACCGAGCTCTAAATCGAACAAACCGATCATCATCAATGCCATCGCCCATTGCTGCCTTGCTGGAAAAGTTAATGAGGTCCAGAAGAATGTAGTTCTTGAGGTATGTATCAAGAGTCTTCTCTGCAGGAATGCATATCGCCCACTTTTGGCAGGCCTTGCATTTGAAACATGTAAAATAGATCAAATAAAACACTAATCAATAATTATTGATATTGACTGTCATGATACATTTTTTTTATTATCACCCAGCCCTAACAGACGTTTTGAATTAGTCAAACTTATACCTACAAAACCGTTAGGGAACTTCCTTTACCTCTTTATGCACATTTTGTCCCCTTGTGTTCAATAAACACTGTTGCATATGTTTTTCAGGAGTTAGAAAAGTGTGAATCCAACCACCTGATCATCCTCTTCCGTGACGGCGGGTGCCAGTTTCGTGCCATTTACTCTTACTCACCAGACACCGAGGAGATCATCAAGTTCACAGGCACGGGCCCACGCGCCATCGGCCGGAAGATGATCGACAAGCTTTACAAATACAACTCGGACCGCAAGCAGTTCACCGTCATCCCTGCCAAGTCTGTGTCGGTCAGCGTGGACGCTCTGACCATCCACAATCACCTGTGGCAGGTCAGGAGACCGGGGAGTGCACGTCGGAAGTGAGCAAGATAGAAAACTTGTAACGATTAAGCGACTAAAGGGCAGGACCCAAAACTCTTAGTGGACACTGAGAGCTTATTGAGGAGAGAGTTCTATGATCTGTGTCAGTGTGAGTATATTCAGTATGAAACACCAAACAACACAGTGTACTCAGTCCTTTCATCCAGTCACTGGTTTATTCTGCATGTCACACTTCAGTATTTTAATTTGTAGATGTTTCCTACATCAGCTACACACTGCTGTTTCATTTAGTTTTTATTTTTTCATGTAGGAGGAAAGAGAAACTAAACTAGGGAGTGAATTACAGCTGATTCTCTTTAAAGTAGCAAACATTCTACTGACACTAAGTGCAAATAAATATGAGCATCCATGTGCGAGTTAGAGGTGGACTGATTGATCCGGCAGCTGATTATAAAAGCTTATTTTTGTAGTTGTTTTAAAAATAACCAGCATCAGATATGTCTGTGCATACTAAACCAATTCAATAGATATATCCCACATAGCAGATGTGGGCCAGGTCTGGCAATGATGGCACTGTTTTTAAAATGGCATGCCATAACTGGCCCAGATGAGGTTTGGTTTATGTGGACCAGATCTGTCAATGCCACGACTGGCATTGACAGATCTGGGCCACCAAAGGGCCATTACTCTTTGCAGTTTCTGGGCCAAGTGATTAGAATGTTTAGTGCACTGTGTGGGCCAGAACTGGGCCAGGTAAATGTTGCTATGTGGGATGTGTTTGGTTCGTAACTGTGTCCATCAACAAAAATGACAAGTCATCATGTCGTGTCATCCTGCTGTATATTAAGAAATCACTGAGTTGAAGCCAGTTTAGATAAACCATTAACCTTTTGAGCTGTTCCAGCTAATTACGGTTATCCATCATACCGTAAACATTGGTTGTTTTTTCCAAAATCAAGCAGATTGTAATAGAACCTGTATGCATACAAGGTTAAACTTATAGACCCAAAACAAACAAATAAAAATCAGCTTTATATATCAGCGGTCCAGATTTCTAAAAATTGGCATTGCCTTTTGCAAAACCCCAGTCAGTCAACCTCTATGTAATGTTTACTATTTCAGCTTGGCAAAAACAACACCTTATTGCTGTGATTAATTCTGACTGAACATCTGCGACCAATATGGGCTTTTAGGAAGAGGGAGCTTTAAAACACGCATCTTCACTGTATGTATGTCTGTTAGGAAGCATTAAGTGTGCTTGCAGATGTGAATGAGTCTTTACGTTGACAATGAGGCCAACATGTTCAAACTAATGGTTACAATTTCAAACTTCCATTACACAACACAACTTTTTGTCTTTATTTTGTATTTATTTTGTCTTTTTTCATTTTGTTTTGAGCTGTTACAGTGGGAAAACGTGTGCTGATTTTACAAGTGAAGGAAATTGTGTTAATATTATTCCCAAACAGGAAGTGCTTTTCGGACAAACTTCACATTCGACTGAAATTCAACAACTGAGCTGTTTTGCTGCTCACTCATTGCCGTTGAGTTCTGGTGTGATGGAAACATTTGGTGACGCCTTCGTGGCCCAGCAGTGTCTTGATGAAAGACATTTTTTTTCCTGTCTGGAATGATGTTTGGGTAAACTGCACTATACTTGATATTTGTTTGCTGCATTTTGTACATTTTGGAATAGTATTTTTTTGTACGTAATGTACAAGTTATGTTTACTAAAAAGTAGGCTCTATTTTGCAGTTTATTGTTAAAGAGATGTTGCGTTGTATTTCTGTTATACTTTCTGTTTATTTATTTTAAAGAGATATAATAAAATGCAATTAGGTAAGTTTTCTTGCTAAATTTGGAGCAATGGCTGTCTTTGAAACATGTCACTTTGGAGAGCACGATGAGGGAAAAATATCCCACGATTTGCCTTTATCAATGATAATATTGTGTTTGTGTTCAGATGGTCAAAAAAATTCAACAATACAAAAGCAAAAACATTTCACCCACTTAAAACGGTTTTAATATAATACTGTATTTGTAGCACTTAAATGTGCACATAAAACTATATCAAGAACAAATCTAGTCAACACTGACATTTGTACAAAGTCAGACTTACAGTAAATGCAAAAAGTGTTGAGATTTGCCCAAACAACAACAACTGTAAACAAATCAGCAAAAGTTTTCACTCTTTTCTGATTATTTATATATATTGCAAAGCAAATAAATTCTTTTTGGCACAAAAGTGAACATTTTGCACATCCAGTACAAATTCCTGAACTGAGCCCTCATGGTGCTAACACCTAAAGCTAAAGAAAAGAACTGGAGCTACGAACAGTAAATAACCATTCACGTTTGAATGCTAGTTTCTAACACGGGCCGTGATGCCACTGATGAACTCTTTGATAAGTGGACAGAAAGTGTGTTTTAAACACTTTAATACAAGTTTCATGTAGGTCACTTAGGGCTGTTTGATTTTTCAACTCCAATTCTAAAAAATTTGGGATATTGTGTACAATAAACAAATGCAGCTGCAACTGCAAATGAACTGCTAGTTTGACTTTTGGGAAAAATAAAGTAATTTTGTATTTGATGACATCAACACATCTCTAAAAAAGATGAGACAGCGACAGTAAAAGTGTGTAAAAGTAAGATTAGATTAGACCAGAGATACAATATCTTTGGGGAGGTCTCATCCAGTGCAGTAAGGCTACACCAGTCTGGTAGGTGGGAAAGCCTAGCTCATGTTGACATGTATGCTGAAGGGAAAACTGGAAAACTATGGTAGGATGACTCAAAATTAGAAATTCTTTTTGGAGACCGCAGATGCTATGTCTTCTATACTACAGAGGAGCAAGACCATCCAGCCCATTAACAGCACACAGTTTAAAAGCCTTTCCTCTCTGATGTTATGGGGATGCATTAGCATCTATGGCACGGGAAGCTGGCACAGCAGCTGGTCTCCTCAGTACCTAGTACCTATTACAGACTGTTGTTAAATGAAAACAGGATGTTTCATTGAGGTAAATTCTGTCCTGTCATTTCTGAGATGTGCTGCTGTCATAATATTCAAAATTGCCTTTTTATTTTAATTAGTACAAATTCTTAACTTAAACATATGATATGCTTACTATGTTCCATGGGGAATAAAATACGGGTTCATGAATTGTGCAAACCATTGCATTCCGTTTCAGTGGACAAAACGCACCTCCTTCTTCATTATTAGAGTTGTAGATAATTTGAGTTAAACGATAGAAAGTGCAACAGTTGCATTCTAAAACACAGATATATTCATAGTTAAGCTTTACTTCAAGAGGCTTTAATAACAAACAGTTTTAGTAAGGATGATTCCTGTGATCACAGATGTGTTGTTTATAAATCAGATTGCCTTTAACTGATGGTAGCCTTGCACGTGTGATGACCCTGATCGAAATTCTTTCAGTTAGCATCCTGTGAGTTAAAAAGAACTGAATGTGTCCGTCTTATTTACAGTATTTGTGGCAATAACATAAAAATGTCACACACAAACAAACAAAAAACTGTTGTTATTAGACAGTAGGTAGGCACTCACAGAAATTCACAAAATACATTTACAGACTGCAGCACTGAAAAAAAAAACTGCAGCTTCTTTCAAATTGGACCTGCATGGACAGAACCAGATTTAAAGGCAATGTGTCCTCTCTAGGCATCCTCCCTGGTGCTGGACTCACGTCGCTCTTTCAGGCTGCTGCTGTGGATGGGTGGCTCCTCTGGGACGTGAGCCAGAGGGTCGGAACGGATCAAGTACCTGAGATGGAACCAAGATGTCACCACACAGAACATTCCTCAAACGTCTAAAAATGTCTTTTTTTAAATGGTCTTTTCCTCTCACAGCCATGGCAGATATTTAGCATGAAAAGAAACACTGACGGGTAGTTTTGAAAGGATCTCATGAAGTACTTACACAATGTCATTGATCTCCAGCCTGGTGTCAGGAGAAGGGTTGATGAGGACGTAGGACAGCGTGTTCTGGTGATCACTCTGCTCATCTAAAACAAAAACACACACAGTCAGCTCAAACACAGTCCCACGATCACGTTGTGCCTAAAGTGATCAAAAGCTTCACCTTGTAGATATCCCAGGTTAACTCTGTTCATGACGTCACTGGCTGTCAGGTTTGTCAGGTCATCTGCATTTAGACAAGAAACACAGTGAAGAAACAGATAAAGAAGGATTACTTCAATGACAAAACAAAAAATAAAACATTCATTCTTACCATATCCAGAGGTGGGGAGACCCAGATGTCTCATGCGGTTTCGGACCAGCTCAGACAGCTCCTCCCTCTCGGAGCGCCGGTAGAGGTTGAGGCGCTGCTGGGCGATGCGCTGGGCGTGGTCTTTGCTGGAGTCCCGGTTCACGCCCTGCCACCTCACACTCTTCTTACTCAGGCGCCGAGCCCACTGCATGCTCTTCTTCCTCAGCAGGGGGTGCTCCGTCTGTTCATTGCTGCGAGACTCGTCCCCCCTGTCCTTTGTGTCCTCACAGTCATCAACACTCATCGACACCTGTGACTGAGATGAGGAACTTAAAGTAATCTTGTAGCGTGAGCATTTATTTTATAATTATGACATTTCTGAAGACCTCTTACTGTGTGAGTGCTGATTCAGAACTCACACCATTTTCCTTATTTTTCTTTTTAAATTAGCATCAAACTTCTTTTGCATACTTTGTTTTATTTTAGCCATTCACATGTCAAAACATTCAGCTCATTCAGAAAATTGATAATCTGGCTTTAAAAATAACTTTCATACTTTTCAAAATATTGAACTGCATTTACAAATATTTACTCCATAGAAGTAGATTAAGATCTCATCGCTTCTTTACAAAACATTGCTGTTTGAAATCTGCTTAAACATACTTTATTTATGTTTTCGTATGCTACTTTTAGCTTTTAGCTATTGTTCTGCTACTTTTAGCTTCTAGCTAGCCTTTTTATTTTAACCTTTAGCCAGTCTCTTGCTACTTTTACTACTCTTTTGCTACTTTTTACAATGTTTTTGCAACATTTAGTTAGCATTTGCTAACTTTAGCTTTAAGCTATCCTTTTCTTCAGGCTAACTTTTTGATGTTTTATGTAGCTTTTGCTAATTTTAGCTAATACATTGTCAATTTAAGCTAGTGTTTTTGCTAAATTTAACATTTCACTAGTCCTTTTTATTAATTTTAGCTTCTGTTTACTGTTTTTGTACTTTTAGATTTTAGCAAGTCTATCTTTACTTTTAGCTTCAAGCCAACATTTTCATACTTTGTCTAGCTTTTTAATACCTTTAGCTAACCTTTTGGGGCTTTTAGCTTTTAGCAAGTGTTTTGCTTTCAGTTAGTGTTCTGCTTCTTTTAGCTACTGATATTTTTAGATTTAACGACAACGTTTAAACTTTTTCAGCAAATTTCAAAAAAGCCATTCCTCACTGCGTTCATTTTATATTGTCACACAAAATGCAACCTGTCTATTCTAAAAAATTTACACAACTTTGGCACTCCTCTTCTTGTTATCTCACCTCTGACGTTGCAAAAATGTGGTACTCGGTGCGATAGATCCCGATAGGAATTTCAGCACTAGTGGAACAAAGTTTCTGGAACAATCTCCCATAAGAACCAATCCACAGATCTTCTTCTGTTATTTTCATCTGGAACAAAAGTTGATGAAGTGTAATCATACATAGTGCTGATTATTATCAAATGAAGGCTTGTTCTCCCCTGTCAGACTCACAGCACAGAGGTATCCTGATCCTGGAGTGGTGTCCAGTCCCAGAAGCAGCCTTGCAATAAGAATCATGTAATCCTTTACAAAAGACTAAAAATAATAACAAAAAAAGAAGAATTTGAATCATTTTTAAATCTCGATGATCATTTTCATAAAAAAAACCTAAGCAAAATAACCTAAGCAAGGCTTCAGTGACTGAACACAAGAGGGCACTTGTGCGTTTTGTTGGTGATGTGTCTCCCCTGCTTTGAAACACATTTTTATACCCAGAGCTGAGGCAAATTATACTCCGTGTACAAACCTGATAGAGAAGAGTATCCAACATGCTGATACTGAACACTCTGCCTGCAGCGAAGGGCAGGCGAAACATGAAGGCCAAGTTGGAGCCCTTGTCACGCTCTTTCTGTGGGGGGATGGCAACATTTAAACGGCCCATCACCTTTTTTTTAATATAAGTTATTGATCATTATATGATCAAAATAAAATTCTATTAGGGGTTTTGTCTTACCTTCTCCAGCTTGGAGAGAGCCAGTGAATAACAGTCCTTTGCTCTAAACTGCATGAACCTCATGTTGGATGGATGAGTAAGCTCTGTGATAATACTGAGACTGGGAAACAACCTGAATGTCACAGGATTAAAAAAAATGTTAATTTTTGTTTTAATGAATACATCTCCACTTAAATCCCAGTCCTAATGATAGCCCTGCTGTTTATGTTTAGGGGGAGCCTCATACTAACAGTTTTCTACACAAACTGATATGGCGGAATCACATTTAATTACCTGAACATCGTCTGCACATTCACTATAGTTTTGGCATCAGCCATGTAGTCCTCTTCAGCGCTCATTGTGCTCTCTTTATCCACAACAACCAAGTTATCAGCATAGATAATACCACACTGGAGAAGGCTGTCCAAACTGCAACACAAACACACACATCAACACACAACAATTAAAATCACAGCAAACATTGATTTGCCAGGAAAACACTGAACATCTGATTATGGCACAAACTCTCTAAAAACATATTTTATGCAAATATTAATTGAAAAACAAAGTAAATATAATAAAACCTGATCTGACAGTCTTACTTGTCTATGGATCCAGCCATGTAATACACCATCGGGAAACAACAAATAGCCTCCAGGAAATGATTATCAGGCCTGCAGGAAACATTTGCAAAATGGAAATAAGAACAATTGTGTTTTTCAATTCTTTTCTGCAGAGAAAAACACAAATTATGCTCAAATCCTGGGTTTGACGTGTACTTCGACATGAAACATTTAGCATGTCAGTTACTCAGAACAAGCCTTGCAAATGACAAAAGCTCTACATCAGAAAGAGCCCCCCCCCCCCACCCCGCTTTGTTTTCTCTGATATTTGGCCTCGGTATTGTTCAGCGTACCCTTTATTTCTCAACAAATCAAGCACATTATGCTTATTATTTAGACAGATTAAGCAAAAACTACAAAGCTTTTATTTCTGCTGAACAATGGAAAAATGCATTTGATTTCTGACAATAATCTGGACTGTCACATTTTATAAAAAACTGCAACTGCTGATGTTTCTGAATTTCTGTGTAGTTAAAAAGACTAAACATGTACTGTAGTTGTGTATAGGATATGTATGTTGGTGTGCAGCATATATAAGATGTCTGACAGCCAGTTGAACAGACTCTTCTAACTCCTAGTCATGGTTTTGTAGGAGATGCTGTTTACAGTTTAGCATTGTCTTGATGGAAAATGCAATGCCTTCCCTGAAACATAAAAAAGTCATATGGTTCGGAGCATATGTTCTAAAACCTATATAAATGTTTTTGCATTGATAGGACGTTTCCAGACGTATAAGCTTCCTATGCCCTAGTGACTAATGCACCCCCATACCACCAGAGAGGCAGACTTTTCAACTGCTCTCTTTATTATGGAGGACATAGTGCCTGTGATTTTCCAAAAAAATCATTTCAAATTTTGATTCATCTGACCACAAAACAGTATGTTCACCCCCCCAGTCTGTTTTAAATGAGCTTTGGCCCAGAGAAGGCAGTGTTTCTCGATGGCATTAACATATGGCATCTTGTTTGTGTGATAGAGCTTTAACCAATACTGTATATGTGAATGGCATGGCCAGCTGCATTTCCAAACACTGATTTGTACAACTCAGATATATTTCAATGCACCTGAAGATCACAAATATCCAGTACTGACTTCCTGCCCTGTCCTTAAAGCACTGGGATTTCTGCACATTCTTGAAACCTTTTGATGAAATTATGAACCGTAGATTTTCCTCTGAGGAACATTATTCTGAAATAGTTCTGCCATTTCAGGTGTAGTATTTTGCAGATTTGTGAACCTCTGCCTTCCATTGCTTCTGGGACATTCAGCCTTTTCTAAAATGCTCTTTTAACTCCCACTACTTTTATTGCCCTTGTAGCAGGTTAGAAATTTGTGTAAACTAGAGGTCAGCTGACATAAACAGTACTGATTTTGTCAAACTGCAGCTGGTTTGGGTCAAATGTCTTAAGTGACATGATCATAGTGTATTTTTTCTAACCTAATTGCCCTAAAAAATCTGTATTACTTTATCTTACATTTCATCCTATTGGTAGTCAGTTTTGTGAAATGTTATTCACCTGTATTTTTTCATCGTCAGAGCAGTCTGAGTCTTTGTAGAGTTAAAAAAAAGAGTTATTTTTTTTCCTGGTACCCGAAGTGTTACTTAACAATATAATACTTTATTTCAGTTTCTTCCCACCGGCTGGTATTTCTTCTCTTCAGATCTCAGTTCAATACAAGCTTTGTGAAGTCTTTGTAGAGTCTCCTGTTTATGTTAGTCTCTGGAAAATAATAACTCTTCCCTAAAGAGGGCCTGCCCACTTGGTTCGATATTGAGCGATTTTTTTCTCTGCAGTTGAAAAAAAATTGTAACTAAACATCCTGCAATCATTGGACAGCTTTACTTTGCTCACAGTCCAGGTTCTTTTAAAGTTAAGCCTACACGTCAGTGTGCTTCTTTTTACTCAGATTATACAATACTGTTTAATTAGCATCCACCAGTAGACTTGTGTACCTAATTAACTGAAGAGCTTACAAACAAATAGCTTTTGAGACACTTTTCTAATTACATATTAAATTAAAGGCCTAGTAATCTGGAAAGTTTCCCTCACCACCCTTCATGTCACACATTCAGATAGGGCTGCGTGGTAAATGCGGTAGACGGTAGAAACGGTATGAAGTTGGCCTATGGTAGAAATTTACCCTCCACCATCCTATCATCATTACGTCATCGCGCCTGTCTGAACAGGGCTGTGAGTGCAGAGACAACTGAGCAGGAGGAGTTCGAAATAAAATGAAGAAATCATAGTGTTTTAAAACACGTAAAGAGAAAAAATCCTCAAAATTTCCCCCTCCCGTAGTAGAAAAGTTACATCGAGATCATTTCCTCCCTCCCTCCACGTTGCGCAGAGCGAAGCTTTAACAACAACAGTTTTTTCACACCCAAGTTTTCGGAGAAAAAACTTGTTTTTATGTATTGTTACCCACAGAGATGATAAAAAAAAGACGTGGATGTTAGTTCAATCGTAAATCCATCTTGCCAATGTAAAGTCGGCGCGGGGGGGGGGGGGGGGGGGGGGGGGGGGGTACGGTGCGCAGCGCTGTGTCTTCTGAATAAATGAAAATGATTTAGCAAAGTTGTTTATACTTTTAGCAGCTCTTTTTATTCCATACCTGACCTGCTAAAAATGAAAGATTTTATTTTCTGTATCTCTGACAGACGGACTTCAATCTCTGAACTCGTAAAGTTCTTCTTTATAGTTTTCGCTGTCATTTTCATGAATGAACACTTCCTTGTATCTGAGGCAGGAAACATAGCCATATATGGTGTTTTTGGGGTGGTAATTATGCTAATCTCCTCTCACGTGCATGAGCAGCTGGATACGAACAGGTGGAATTCATTTACACACTTTTCCTGAAGATAGAAGAGTTTGTTGAATCTGAYGTGACATGTTCGTACGAACCCTTTGTACGAACAAAAGTAAGAGAAATTTAGGATAAGAATACGAACATGTTCTTGCATGAGGTCCATTGTTTGGCAGGTTGATTTTAAAGCAAAAATGCTGGGTTTGATTAAGATTAGTTTTCTGCAAAAGAAAAGCTCTAAAAATTACATTATGTTTCCTTTTCATGACTGTTTTCTACCACGATATATACTGTTACTGTGAAGGGATTCAATTTATACAGTGATAAGAATTTGAGGTCATACCGCCCAGCCCTAGTTTCAGACTAAAATCATCTTTTGACAAATGAAAAAAACTGTCAAAACTTATTGTCAAACCTTGAACAGATTATGTGTAATTCCATGCCATATTATAAAATATTATTTTCAGAGTAAATACATGACATTTGAGCTCAGTATCTATCAAATTGACTATGTTAGAGCCATTTCTGTGTAGGCTAATGTCGATTAGCTGTGGCGGCTACATTAATTTGGGTTGATAAGAAAAGTTCATCAGTTATAATAGATGTACATCCACTGAATTTTTCCTAAAAATTTCATTAAAACCCAGTTAGATAGATATTTAGCTAACAGAGAGAGTTCAGGACAGTTAATATTTTAAGCAGATCTCACCCAGTGAAAATCACTTGGAGTTTTTGTTGTGAAGAACTCGCAGCTTCAGCAACACTTCATTTTAGCTTGTTAGCTGTCAATTTGACCAAGTTACAGACATTTTTGTGCTTCCAAATTTGGCGGTGATGTCCATCTTGAATTGGTTCGGCTCCAGCTGTTATTCATTTATAGACATATGTGGAATGAATATTTCCTGGAAACGGGCAAAAACACTATTGTCCATCTTAGCATTTCAGAGGCGAGTCCTAACTGCAGCATAAAACTGACTTGTTACTTAAAGTTTCCACATCCAGATAATCACACATTTAAGATACGTATCAAACCCACAAGGATTTTATACTTATAATTTATTAAATTCACTTATTACTTCGTAAGTCTTTGAGGAAGGAGTCCAGTTCTAACACATTAATAAGAATCAGGAGCCTCTACATTAGTTTATAATCTGCACTGCAAAAAAATGTCCACCTAACCAAGTTTTAAAGTCTTTTATCCAGACAAAAAGTTTTTTGATCTTGTTTTGAGACTGATTTACTAAACAAGAACTGATTGTGTAAGAATAATAATCTTGTTTTCAGAATCTGTAAGATTATTTGTCTTGTTAGTCTGAAAATTTGACTCAAATTAAGTCAAAAATTTCTGCCAACGGAGTAAGAAATTTTTACTTGGTAAGATTCTTCAAATACTTGATTTGACTCAATTTTTTCTTATTTCAAGAATTTTACCAAGTAAAATTTTCTTACTCCACTGGCAGATATTTTAGCTAAATTGGAGTCAAATTTTCAGACTAACAAGACAAATAATCTTACACATTCTGAAAACAAGATTATTATTCTTACACAATCAGTTCTTGTTTAGTAAATCAGTCTCAAAACAAGATCAAAAAGACTTTTTGTCTGGATGTAAGGTTTTAAAACTTGGTAAGATGGACGTTAGAAAGTCTTTAGGCTGGTGGATGAGTCCATCTGGTGCTGAAGAAAATTTTCAATCACTCACTTTCTGTCCTTCACCACCTTTGTGTTGACAGAGTGTTACTTTATGCGTCTGCCCATTCCTGCTGACTCCAGACCCAAGGCTGTGGTCGAACTGTGTATCAGAGTGTGTGGGCGTTTTGCATGTGTGTGTGTGTGTGTGTGTGCGAGAGCAACAGAGAAGGAAGAGACCGAGAGCGGCGCAGAGGGGGACTTTATTCCCGTGCGTGTTTCCATGAGAGTCCTCAGAGCTGGCGTGTGGGGGCTGATGAGGGACACATCAGGGCTCTTGATGAAAGTTTGCGAAGCAAAATCAAAAGGAATCATTTTTCTCCCCTTGTAGCAAATTTATATCAACTGGGTTCAAGGCAAAGCAGGTTTCCATGGTTACTGTCTGGAGGTACAGAGAGGTTTTTTTTATTATTATTTTCTTTGTCACTAAAAACACCCAGTAAATGGGAGCAATAGTGGTAATCTAACATGAGGATTAACAATGGAGTACCACCTCCACAGCCTTGTCCTAAGTGGTTGCTGACGTGAGCTTTTCAGTGCTCATAATGTTTCCCAGCGTGACACGAAGGAAGACGGAGCGAAGAGAACAGAGAGGAACAATGCTATGAGTTGGGAACTCACGGGTTATCCAGCAGCAAGACAATAGGGTTGAGTTCTTTCCTCGGTCTGTAATAAGCTCTGAGAGGCACGATGAAGTTATAGAGCCCATTCCCCGCCGTCTCGGCAGACACGATGACGAGCTTGTTCTTAAAGCCATAAGCCTTCGCGTCCTCGAAGCTGTTGTGCATGCAGCCCTGCGCAAGGAAGGGGGAACAAACAAGAGAGGCGTTTTAGGTGTGCTTTTTTTTATGAAGCAAAGGACAGAAAGAGGAGAGAAAGGGGAATTATTGAGGCGGCATGTAATTGAGTGACTAAGTTGACGGAAAAGCGACTGCCCACCTGGTCCAGTCGTAGGCAGCAAAATGGAGCTTTCTCAGCCAACAGATGACACAAGGTGGGCGAGCTCCCGATGTACGGAGAGTTGGGAGGATAACCTTTCACATACCTGCAAACAGAGCCAGGATGAATGAATGATAAATCATACGAATGATATTTGTTGTAATTTGTGGTTCTAAAAATAAAACTACAGGTGGTTTCTCCTGCTTGAAGATAAGAGTTTAAGATACGTATATGTACACACAAGTATACTTAATGTATACTTAATGTATACTTAATGTATATGTTTGTATGTAAGTATGTATGTAAGTATGTATGTAAGTATGTATGTATGTATGTATGTATGTATGTATGTATGTATGTATGTATGTATGTATGTATGTATG